AATCGGCGCCGTTATGGGGGGAGGGCGATGATATTCGCGGGGGGGTGAATAGTGGTGGTATTGAACACCACATATTAAAGTGGGGCAAAGGTTGGGACAACACTGCTCTACCCCATTACCTTGGGAGAACCCCCCATTGACAGACATGCATTATACAATCACAGTAGTAAGAATTTAGGCCTTTTTTTGACGGATTCCTCTTTTATTTATTAAACTGTTAAGACTTCCGTCCCCAAGCATGGCACTTCTCAACCCTGACAACTTTAAGAGGGATGGATTTCAACTGCTCCCATTGCCAACCCTTATCCCGCCTCTATTATTGCTGTTAGTCATGATTTCCTTCCAGGGCAACGGGCCAGAGATTTTGCACACCTTGATGACACCATCGTTGAGGATGGTGTTGGAAGAATGGGGAAAATGCGACTTTTAACACTAAAACAGTTAAGGATAAAAGCTTGTGCCCTAATTAGGGGCAGGGGGGATACAGCCTGAGTGAGCCTCCCCCAGCCAGCCCCGCGTCTTTTTCTTCTTATTCAGGATATCTACAGTGGGGCAAAAAAGTATTTAGTCAGCCACCAATTGTGCAAGTTCTCCCACTTAAAAAGATGAGAGAGGCCTGTAATTTTCATCATAGGTATACCTCAACTATGAGAGACAAAATGGGGGAAAAAATCCAGAAAATCACATTGTCTTTGACCTCTGTCATTGGCAACAAAGGATATATAACAAAGTATTGACCTCTGTCATTGGCAACAAAGGATATATAACAAAGTATTGACCTCTGTCATTGGCAACAAAGGATATATAACAAAGTATTGACCTCTGTCATTGGCAACAAAGGATATATAACAAAGTATTGACCTCTGTCATTGGCAACAAAGGATATATAACAAAGTATTGACCTCTGTCATTGGCAACAAAGGATATATAACAAAGTATTGACCTCTGTCATTGGCAACAAAGGATATATAACAAAGTATTGACCTCTGTCATTGGCAACAAAGGATATATAACAAAGTATTGACCTCTGTCATTGGCAACAAAGGATATATAACAAAGTATTGACCTCTGTCATTGGCAACAAAGGATATATAACAAAGTACAAAATACTTATTTTCCACCATGATTTGCAAATAAATTCTTTAAAAATCAGACAATGTGATTTTCTGGATTTTCCCCCCCATTTTGTCTCTCATAGTTGAGGTATACCTATGATGAAAATTACAGGCCTCTCTCATCTTTTTAAGTGGGAGAACTTGCACAATTGGTGGGTGACTAAATACTTTTTTGCCCCACTGTACCTTCCTACCTATTTATATAGCATTTCTGTAGCCACCTGCCTCAGGCAGTGACTCTGGGCAGCTTACACATTAAAGCCACCCAAATTAAAAAACAACTACAAATACAACCTAAATAAATTAAAAAGGTAAAAAATGGCCCAAAACACCCATACAGAGGGCACATCCCAGTTAGCCACCAGGTAACCCTTCAGCCACCCAAAATATTTCTGCTTTAGGTCAAGTTTCATTATTAAAAAACGGCCACCCTCAGCCCTGACAGCGACAGAGAAAGGAGAATAGAGGAATGTACAGAGACTGCACCGGTTGCCTCCCCGGAACGCGTTCACTTGGGGTCCCTGGAATCATGGCTTGCTCCACCCAGCATTCAAGGTTTGCGAAACACACCAAACCCTGGATTAATCACTTGGGCGGAGCTGCCGGGTTGCAATGGGGCGGGCTAGTTCAGGGCTCACTTGCTGCGGAGTCCGACCGGGGCGCCGGCTGCGCTTGCGGGCCGCCTGGACGGGCCCTCACCGGCTCCCCGCCACCGCCCCGGGAGGAGGCTGGAGAAGAGAGACGCGGAGGGTCACCATGACGACGTCGGAATCGCACGCGCGCGGCCTGCCGGGAAAAGGCGGCGGGAGTCCCGCCCACCCGCGAGAACGACACACGCTCTGCAACGGCCGGAGAGAAACTACGCTGCCCGGCATGCCCGGCGGCGGCCGCCTGACCCGGAAGAGGCCATCCGACGCATGCGCTACGAGCCGTTGGGCGGTCAGGCTGCTGCGGCGGTCCCCTTCTTCTCCCCGGCGCCGTACCCTCCTCCCTCCGCAGGCGGGTCACGCGCCTGCGCAGAGGCGGCCTCCTTCACCTCCGTGTCGCTCCTGCTTCCCTCGCGGTCGGCCCGAGTTTCTTCCCCTCCAAGCGAAGCCGGGCGGCGGCGGCCATGGCGGACACGGCGCAGAACGGGCCCATGCAAGGCGGCGCGGGCGGCGGCGCGGTGGTGAGTGAGGCGGGCAAAGCTTTCCCGAGCCGGGCCGCTTCGGAGGCGCCCGACTGCAGGCCCCATCGTCCGCGGTGCGCGGGCTGAGGGTG